CCACCAGGGGGCGGGGCTGGCTGGCATGTGGTGCTAGGGGATCGAACCGCGGTCCCTGTGCTTTGCCAAGCTTGTTTCAAGTAGGTGCTTTAGACCACTGAGCCATTTCTCCAGCCCAGCTCACTGACTCTTAAGCCATATCTTAATATATTTTGGGGTAGTGTTTATTTAAGAGAAAGACTAAAAACAAAACAAAAAACCCAAAACCTTAGCCATCCAAGTAATTTGTGTTCCTAAAATGGAATGTGGAAATTTAATCTGCTTATTTTTATGGTCATTAAGTTAAAAAAGTAGATTACAGTTTTGATGAACAACCAGTATAAAGTAGTTGAAAAGAAAACTTATTTTTTCTGATCAGATTCTCAGAAATCAATTCAGCAAAATAGGCTTTTAAAAAACATTTGAAACATAAAACTTCAGAAGTGTTTGAGATTCTGAGGTTATAGTGGTCCACTTTAGCAGTTAATTCTTGAAAGGTGATTGATGCATATGTAATTAATTCTTACTTTTGTACGTTTCCAGCTTACAAAACACTACGCAGCAAAATAATGATCTGCTAGACTGCTAACCCGAGCATCCAGCTTCCACAATGCCTGTGCAGGCAGCTCAGTGGACAGAATTTCTGTCCTGTCCAATCTGCTATAATGAATTTGATGAGAATGTGCACAAACCCATCAGTTTAGGTTGTTCACACACTGTTTGCAAGACCTGCTTAAATAAACTTCACCGCAAAGCTTGTCCTTTTGACCAGACTGCCATCAACACGGACATTGATGTGCTTCCTGTCAACTTTGCACTTCTCCAGTTAGTTGGAGCCCAGGTAAACTTTCAATATTTTATCCACTTACTATCAATAATAATTATAAATTTTGTTTATAAGGGGTACATAGTATGTTTAGAGAATAATATATGTCAAACTTAGGACCTTCTGCTTGCCAAGCAGGTCTTGTGCCAATCAGCTATATTCCTAGCTCTGTTTGGTAATAATTGAGACAGAAAAAAGTATTATTGTACTTCCCTAACAACATTTTTTTTAAACATTTCTTATGTTTTATTTATTTGGTACAAGGTCTTGCTATGCAGCATGGACTTGTAATGATCCTCCTGTCTCAGTCTCCCCAGTGCAGACCCTGAACTATTTCCCCAGCTCCTCTTTTTTGGTCACATTTTATTTTATTTTATATAATT